ACATACATACATACATACATACATACATACATACATACATACATACACACACACACATATATATACATATGTACATCAAGGTACCATCAAGTTATTGCACTCAGCTAGAAAACACTGGAAAGATAAAAATATGGCACCACTTAGTGCAAAGCAGGGACAGAGATGACGGCAATCAGCCCAAACAATCCCTCCTGGTCTTAAAACATGTACCTCATTTGAGTCCGTTGAATTTAATGCCGATGAGAAAGCCCAAAGTGGTATTTCAAACCAGAACGGGAGCACATTTTTAGGACGACCGTGCCTCAGCGCACAGAGCAAGGTCTACTAATAACTTCCTGTCTGTTTTCATCCTCTACTCGGCGGAGTGAATGAAAGTCAAAGTCTGGGAAATTGCGAGAAATTGTCGAAGTTTTAAGAGCCTGACAGTGGCGTTCGGACCACCGAACGGAGGTGGCTGCACCGACTTATATAGATGGACAGGTTTCGATTTATCCTCTTCTGAAAAAAATCTGAATCTGTATGGATGTGTATTAATTTGCCTGCACACATTCATTTGGCTATGGCTTTTTTTTTTTCCTCTCACGTGGCACAGTAGGGAAGAATAGGTGGGCTAATTGTGTTTGTGGTACTGTGGAGCGCTGTCATAATTCTGAGTCTGAATCAGAGTGGCTGTGCCATAAATGCACCCAAACAAACGTTCAATTACTGTTTTATGCAACCATTGATGTGGAGGCTGCAGAAGGGTGCCGATGAGGGCAGTCTCATGATGAATGGGAATGCTAACAGCTGCTAATGACAGCCGACAGAGAGGAAGCGTGCAGGCTCCTTATGTGTGATCACAGTTATTTCATATGTGAAAGAGGGGGGCTTTTAAATGCGCAACAGGACACCGTGGTGTCTATGAGGCACGATCAGGTCCAAAATGTGTCGCCACTTAGTTTTGCTGTGAATGCGAGGGTGGATTTCTTGGGAGCAAATGCTTAGCTGGTTTCAAAAGGTACATGAGGAAAAAAAAACAAGCTTATTCCAACTCTTTTTATTTCAGTGGGGGAAAAAAAAGTCCCCAGAATTTCACAGCCCAAGGTCACCGAGGTCTGTGCTTTCACCTGCTGTCCAGCAGGCACTGACCGGTGACTTTTAACGCCTCTGCTTCTAAATCTGCCGCAAAAACTCTATCCGGCCCCAAAGCCGCGGCGACACATGGACTTCATTCCTAGTCTCAACTTCTGGAAACGCGGTCCATTTTCAGACCATAATTACATGACGGAAGCTGATAATGGTGAGGTCTGAAGCTTTTGAGGTGGCTGAAATAAAAGGGCCCGAAGCCGAACAACTCCAGGGCCAGTCCCCACGTCTGAAGCGCGTCACACTTCCGCACGGGCAGCGCGTGCTGGGCTCCATTACGGCTCGACATGTCCCACGACTTTACTGAAGGTAGCAAATGAAGTGAAGCAACACTCCTCAAGATAAAAGCCATAAAACAAAACCAGCTGTTAAAGTGAAAAGCACTTTGTACTTTTCCTCTTTGCATGATGGGAACAAAGAACAGCACTCAGTACATTTATTGGGTAGGTTTTAAAGTTCAGCAGAGGACACGTCGGAGATAAAAGCAAAGAACAATACCTGAGTTATTTTGGACTGCACAGAGGACACTATGGATGAAGACACTGCCTTGTCTTTCTCTTGAGAACCCCCCCTGTAGAGGAAAGAGACAGGAGAAAGAGAAGAAGGGATGAAAAGAATCAATCATGTTAACAGGGGAGGATATACAATATTCATGACATTTTCTGAAATGCTAAAGTTGGACAGGCATCAAGCGCTGTGCGAGGAGGGGCAGGCACAAAAGAACAGACACACTGAAGACAAAGGCATGTGACCTGCAAGAACAAAAATATCCATCCAGAGCCGGGACAACCACCAAGGAACATTGGAGAGTAGAGTTGTGCAGACAAACTGGGCCACGACCGCAGGCTCCGTTTTGGCTAGGGCCAAAGCTTTTATTCTCCCTACATCTAACATTTCATAATTCATCCAGGGATTTCCAAAATACAAGAATTCACGGGCATCAAGTTGATTGAACACAACAGGTGACAAGAAACGGCAGAGCAGACTTGCAGCTGATGTCGCGGGCCATTACGAGTTGGGTCCAAAGCGACAGAAAGCGCCTCGATCCGCTCGCACGGGAATTTTGGCGAGCTGCCCGTAGCGATGAAGTGCAACTCAAGATGACCATAGAAATAAGACAAAGATGTCAGATGGCTGGCTCTGCTTGTGTGGCCTCTTTCTCACAACACAGAAACAGCAGCTCCTGCTCCGCGTTGAAGGAAAAGTGGTTTACAGTCTTTAAATTACAGCTGAGAAATATTCAAATCCTTCCATGTCCTGAGATAAAACACAAACTTTCAGCCATTTCCCATTTCCTACAAGGAAGGATTTCACAGGAAGCTCGGCGCTCCTGCCAACTTCTAAACAAACCTTGATCTTTTTGTCTGAGTTAAAAAGTATTTTCGAGGTTGAAACAGTCGTCTGCATGTTAATGAGACTAAAATGAAAACCAAAGCGAGATTGCTATCAAAAACACATAACACGCATCCATTGTTAAAAGAACTGACAGGTTACTTTTAGTTCTTTCTTTGTGTTCTTTTTAGTTGTCAGCATGGCTTTGGTCAGCCCTAGTTGTTGTAAATAGGCTCGGACTCAGACTCGACCAAAGTCCAGAATATGGACTTTGGACACAGAGGAAATCTTTTTTCTCTCCCTACCTGGACAAGATATTTTGTCCTCTAGCATACAATTCATCCATAACTCTTATCTGAAAATATGTTAAACGGCAACTCCGGGACATCGGGAGAAGCTGCCAGTCAAGAGCTGCTTTTTGTCCTTGAAGTCAGGGATGTGCATTAACTGGGACAAATTCGGTTAAAAGGTTTTAAAAGCTGTGTAAGATGTAGTTTTATCATTGTGCCTATAGCTGAGTTTTAAATTACAAGCCATGCTCAGAATCGAGGCTTAACGCTAGCTTAATTGAACATAATCGTCAGTTATGGCTAAATGCTGAACCATTAGCCGTTGGTGTGTAACAGTGAATCTGCTTCTTTTATGATAGACAAAAGCTTTGCAGACCTGGGGGAGAAACATTCTGCTGCCATTAAATCACCTTTAACCCAAACGGACAACCAAGAAAAACAGCTTTTTAAAGGAAGGACGCATTGGGGCACCTTTTGGAAACGAATGCACAGAGCTCAGCTGGGTGTCTGAGGACAGTTACCTTGAGCCACTGAGGCTGGACGCAGGGCTGGCCGACGTGGACACGACTTTGGGTGAGGAAAATGGGGAGGCTGTGAAACCGGCAACACACGTCTGTACTGAGGAGGAGAAGGAGCTCTTCTTTTGTTCAAGCGGAGACCTGGGAGCAAAGGGGAAATTTAAGAACAACATAAGCTTAAAATCTAAAGCCACACAAAGACAACGTCCAGCTGTGGGAAGAATAAATGTCAGGGTGTCTGAGGCTGGCCTTTACATAAAATATTCAAACCACAAGATACAAAAACTGCATCCCTTCCTCTACAATGGCATCGTCCCCCCGCTAATTTGCATCGATTACTGCAACTGACAGCCATCACACAGACTTAACGCCATATGTCTGTGTTACACCCCCAAACCTCCCCCCCTCCCATCGCCGCTCCTTATCCCAAATCGTTGACGCCTGCTGGAGGATTTACCTGGATCTTGAATGCCCTCTGGGCAAGCTGGAGCTGCTGCTGGGATGATAGCGATCTTTCTCCTCGTGTCTCCTGTCTGCTGATGAGCCCCTCTTGTCCCTCCTCCCTGGGGAGTGTGATCGAGATCTGGCCAGACAAGTGGACAAAGAAAATGTAAGATTGGTTTCAGCAAGTATATAGCGGAGGACGGAGCGCAAGAGAGGAGCATACGTATTACAAACGAGAGCAAAAAATGGAACGGGTGTGAGGGGTAAAAAGATGCTTCAATAGGGGATTCAAGAGAAAATACTAAAAAGGAAATTCTATTACTTTTCAATAATTGAATTCCACTAAAAGGTAGCATGTCAATATGATTTTCACAAGATAGCGAACCGTTTAAATGCTACACAATTAAGAATTCAATTAAGAATTCAGTTCATCATTCGGGGGAATTTTATCACAGGGATTCCAAAAATAGACACTTTACAAAACTATCCTGAAAAGAAAATCGAACTCAATATTTATAGATAGTGTTATGGATTAATAACAGCCTCCTTCTTTTTCTGCGAAGGGCAGAGCAAAATACATTTGGTCTGCTGGCCAACAGGCAGAGCGTGTATGCCGTTTAGAAACATAAAGAGTAAGAAATGAAACCCCTTTTTAACAATAAGGGTGGAAGGGAACATCCAGCACATCGCACAATGGAGGTGACACGTAAGAGCAGGAAGCAGGACAAAGTCAGGAGAAAGAAGGTATTAAAACCATTACTTCTAGATTGCTTTGGCAGTAATGACCCATAGAGGAGACTAAAAAGAACACCTGCGGCTAATTTTTTTCACTAAAAGCAGAAATCCTGCTGCTACCACGACCGCACATAACTTTATGGTGACGGATGTAAGCCCAGCGAAAGTTTAGTGAATAACAAATGCTGATCTTTTAAAAAACAACACAAAAACGCATTTACCAAAAAAGCCTAAAATCCATGCGTGCATTTCAGGCATTTGTTCGTCTAAAAGAGAAGACTTCGAAAACAGCGCTGGGCCATGATTAATGCACGTGGAGCAGACTGACAAATACTCAGTGACTCTTTTAAGACGGCGTCGCATGTTGTGTATGAGGACATTGATGGAAGGAAGTGCCTGACAAAGAACGACAATGTTATTAGAATGGGTTCTTGCAAAGCAATTTAAGTGAAAAGCTCACTTATTATAAAGTGCAGGGATTTGTCTCGGTCAACTCTATTTCAGACCCTTTTGTTGATGTAGGTGTCATAGCTGTGTCGATTAACAAATGCAATACTACACCATCCATATGTAAAGATAACTATTTATTCATGTTATGTGTCTTACATGGACAGCATCTGAGGGCATGTTTAACACTCATTCGTGCAAGCTTAAAGACATTTGGCTCCACGATGTCTTACCGGGACCTGCGGGCTCTTCTGTAGGCACTGGGAAGGGAGTGTCTGGTCTTTGATCTGGACCTCGACCTCCGCTTGTGTTTTTTCTTCTTTTTGTCTTTGTCCCTCCCTCGGTTCCGATCTCGGTCTCTGTCTCTGTCTCTGTGTCTGTCCCTTTCCCTTTCTCTTTCTCGGTCCCGGTCTCTGTCTCTATCTCTATCACGATCTCGGTCTCGATCTCGCTCTCTGTCTCTGTCCGAGCCTTTGGACGTGGTGTGAGAGGATGATGTCGAAGAGCAGGAGGGGTCCTCTCTGCCGCGGTTAGCTCCGTGGTTCTCCAATAAGAGCCTTTTATCCTTGGCCCGTACGGGTGCTGTGCGGTACACTTGAGGAGCAGCGTGTTCGGACAGAATAGAGTAGGCTTCCTGCAGCTGGACAGAATATAGATTGACAAGGAGACAGCAGAGAGAGTTAGTGTCAGCATTTTTTAAGCCGTGTTATTGTTTCTGTTCTGAAACTTGTCCAATTAACTGCTTTACAGAGACCTTCCGATGGCACTGGCTAAATAAAACATTCCAGCTCTCTTTTTGCCATCGGGGGATGCTGAGTGCATTCCCAACTGCTGCATAACTGTGAATATCTGTGGAGAATCAATACACAAGTCTGTCCACTGTAACAGATGACGGCCAAACACAAAGCTGAGAGTGAAGCCAGATTAAAGACTTCTTTATTCAATACCTCCGTCTGCACTCTTGTCATTGCTACATATCAATGTAACCCACATGGCGAGAGGCGGATTTCAAATCTCTGCCTTTGCTTTTGTGATGTTCACCGATTCAAAAGCTCGTCCTGAATCCTGCGGCCGAAAATACATTTCTTTAAATAGCTACAAACTGGTAGGAAATGTATAAAAATAAACCAAAAATAGTCATCTGTGCTTATTCCGTATGAAGCAGTTAGGTATCAGCTGTTAGATTTGGAGGATTTCATATTTTTTAAAGAAGGAGCTATACTCATTTGTGCACTAAAAGGGAAAAGGGATCCTAACTGGCTTCCTCTGCGAGAGACAAGGTTTCTTATTCTCTAGGGAAATCATTACTCAGATTCTTGCCTAAAAAGCCCTTACTCAGCTGATGAAAAGATGGGGCGGGTTACACAACGTGGAGAAGTCTTCTGGCTACATGTTGAGGTATAACTGTCAGTGGCAAAGTGCATCTTATTGCCCCAGAATGGGTCTACCTGCTCAATTTGGAGTTGTGAGAAAAAATAAAATAAAAAAAAAAGGTCTGGCTTCATCAATCAGCTGGTTGCAAGTGACAAAATCTCTAACCTTCAGATTTTATCCAGCGGGGTCAGGATTTCCAGTTGGTGGCTGTCAGTAAAAAAGCAACACCACCAAACCAACACACGAAAAGGACAGGACCTCAACTCCGACTGGGAGGAATTTATTTCTGAGCTGAGCCGAATAAAAGTAAGCTGAGGAATCTCTCCAACTCAGCCGCGGCCTGCCGCCTGTTCATTTGCTACCAAAAAAAAAAAAAAGTGGAGCTTCATGAGAGAGATGGGGAGAAGATGATGAAAGAAGATGAAAGAAGGATTCAAACGTGATGAAGCAGGAGAGGCTTGAGAAACACAACCAATATGGTGATGACATAAGCCAATCAATGGTTAAAAAAAAAAAAAAGTCATGTAGAAAACGTACAACCTGTCTTTAATGTTTGGTGAAACAAAGACAACGAGTGCCAAAGAAAAAAAAAATTATTAGAAGTCTGGAGTTTGCAGGACATATGGGATGCTTATAGTATCAACAGATGCTGAAAATGTCCTCCTTTCACACCTGCTTTGGTAAGATAAGCTCAGATTTAGAAGGTACGACAACAAATAAAAAAAAGGTAGTGTCTGGTGAGAGGGGAGGAGAGAAGCAACGCTCTTTGACTGTCAGTCTGTTGTCACACTGAAACCAACATCGTACACACTAGTAGGCAACAGGCATCTCTATCTAATGAATGGTAGCGTTCACTAACAGGATCCACTGTGAAAAACAGTGGGGCATTTTTCATGCTCACAGTGGTTGTTAATTAAGACTTCCAACACAAAAACAGCAGAATGTGGAGAGAGAGAACAGCCTCCACTCTCACTGATTCCTAGAAAGTAAAAGCGCTGTCCACACAGAGGTTTTAAGTAAGACGCCAGTGAGTGGAGACAGGCCCGTGTCTGATAGACGCTCTCCGTTATTATGGGAGATTTCTGCGCTCGGACACGTGCTGCTTTTTTTTTTTCTTTGCCTGTGAAATTTAGCCTGCGGCTTTGTGACAGCTAACATAAGTTGCAGCGGTCTTGTTGTGTCATTGACATAATGAAGAATATGCCAAACACGTAGAGCTCAATGGGTCCAAATTGGCTCATTCAGCCACCTCAACAAACACATGGCCCCAGCATTCACACTCGTCCTCAGGCTCGTTTAAAGTCCCGCTGCGCAGAGGCCTAGAGCAGATAAAGCATATCTTAATGCCGTTACATACTCTTCTGATGAGGACAGCAATGAGCAAGCTTGAACAGTGTCACATCTGGTGTGAAGTCTCAATTTGACACCAAACAAGCCATCCACCAGGCAAAAACATTAAAAAATATATAGATTTTTCTTTTCAAATCCACTGATAAAAATCATGCTAAGCTAGTGGTGCTGTCCACTGTCTTCCTTAGCCTGACTTTCCTCCACATTGAGAAATTCAATGTCTTTGAGAGTGCAACCACCAACTGGGTGGATGCTATTCCTCCATCGCCAGTCGGCCCCTGGCCAGACTTTTTCGTGGCTCCCCGAGGAGGATGCGCGCGGTCGGTTGGCCGTGGCAGAAGCCACACAACATCTGGAGAACTGCAGAGCTGCCACCGCGGTGACAGGAACCTACCCACTGCCACCTGGCTCCACCGGCAAAGGGCCAGTTCTCCACGCATCAGTTGGCACTAACAAGACCAGCTGACATGTGCTATCCATCATACGGACCGCCGATCTACACATCAAATGACCGCCGTTGTCTTATTTGCACTATAAAGTATTTCTGCCTTTTTTTGTCCTGTTTTGCATGGCAAACAGACGGCCTTTAAAGTATGCAGTTATCCAAGCTGCCTAATCGAAAAATTTACGAAGGAGAGATTCGTCTTAGGGCAAGAAGGGAGAGGAAGAAAGTTAGAAGACGGATGAAAAACAATTCTTTAATGGCTTTGGTGTTGGCTGTCTTCATTAGGAGTCACAATGAATAATTGGTGGTGGGTTTTAACACCTTCACCGTGTGTGCTGTGAGCTTTTATGTCCTGAAAATGCTCCAAAATTGTCTCTGTGCTGATCAGATAAGTGGGAGCTGCTGCCGTCTACACCAGTACACACATCTATACAAATATATCTATATCTCAAGAAAGACAAACAGACAGAGTTCACAAAAAAAAAACTGGAAATGATTAAATCCTCTCTTTGTGGGCCACTCGCTTTTCAGTTAAAACAGTGCATTGATTCGTGGAAAAGGCGCAGGAATTCATTATAAGTGTTAGCAGCTGCATACGAATGCAACCTCTTCTTTTTTTAATGACTGAGTAAAACCCCAGAAACAGAAATGCCCATAGGAAAAGTGTCCTAGTCGGGCTTTCCACCTCATTAATATGTGTTGCACACTTTGCCTTGTAGAAAAAAAGAATAATAAAAACTTTAAATATGTACTGTCTGCCAACATTGTCCTCTGTGTGGCGGCAAGTAAAAAATTTAAACTCTCAAACTTCTGCTGCATGCTGAAAACTGACATGACATAAAAAATAAAAAGCCTGCGACCAAGAATAATCTGAGTATAAAAGGAAATAAAGAGGAGTGAAGACAATAGGACAACTGCTTTTAGTTCCTTTATATCTGCTTCAATGTAGTAATGGAGTTTATTCTAAAAAGACCCAAAAAAAAAAAAAAAAAAAAACGGATATTACTGCTGACCTCAGAATGGAAAGTGGAGCATTAGATAACAAGATGGTGATTGAGGTTTCTCTCAAGCCCGTGTGTCTTCAGAGATCCTGCCCTGACACGAAGTTATTAAATGTCAAACAACTAATTCGGTTAATGCAGTCGCTGGGAGATGTGTTGAAGACGTGTTCTCTGTCCTCTAAATCGGCTCATTTTCACATTATTTCTGTCGCTATGGGTAATGACAACAAGAAAAAGACTAATCATATCAGTGTTTAATCTCATCCTTAGGAGACAACTTTGCATTTACCCTCTAAAGTATCTAGGATCCTGGCCTTTTTTGACCCCTGACCTCCTATGATGCAGGATTTGGACTTCCTGAGCTGAATATGACTGATATTACATATTGGATGGCTTTCTATGGCTCTGTTACCCTAGAGAGCAGCAGGCGTGGTGAAGTTTCATCATATGTTAACAACACACAAAGTAGTAAAATATTGTTTACAATGGCGAACACCGATCAGTCTTTATCAACCAGCCTCCTACCTGGAGTTGAGTACATGAATCAAGCTCCGCTCTCTTTGCCTCAGGCTCTCCAGCGACCGGGCCGCGGAGCGTCTGCAAAAAGAGTGCTGCCTTCCTTTTCCTCTCAGCCTGTAGCTGTTTCTCTTTGGACTCCTTGGATGCCTGCGCCAGCTTCTCCCTGGCTGCAGCTGCCAGGCGATCCTCCAGTTTTTGCTTGGCTGCAGGCAGAGAGATGAGGGGGTAAACAGTAGAAACGGCGGGGGTTTAGCTACTGACTTTTTTTTTTTTTTTAAACCGCAGAGCGAAACTAGTAGAAGATTTGTTCGGAGTCACAATTTGACTTTGGAACCAAAATAAACGGGAGAGAGGAGGGAGAAATAGGCAAGGATGGATACACGGGGAGTTAAATAATGGTTATCAGCATTGAAACACGACAGAGACTCAAGAAATAAGTCTGAAGAAAAAAAGATGAGCAATTTTCTGCTCTTACTGTCACATGTTACCAAGATGATTTTTACTGAGTTTGGGGTGCTGTCAATCAATAAAAAAATCCCCATCTCACAAGGCCTGATTACACATAATTTCCCACTATTCATGAAAAGTATGGTAAGAGGGAAGGTGTAGGAGGAGAGGAAAAAAAGAAGTGAGCTGATGAAAATGGGCCCGGAATAGATGAAGGAGATGGTATGACAAATAAAAAAAGGCAAAGGAAGTAAAAGTTTTGCCAAGACAAATAATGGAAGACGAGACACAACAAAACGCACGGTATGACACTACAGAGGACTCCGCCGTCCGTCTGGGTTAAAAATAGCCCCGCAGCAGAGGCAAAACCCAACTGAGTGGAATTAACGGCCACCGAAAGGAGCATCCGCCGGTCCCACAGACCAAACAACCGAACAACACAGTCCTGTCATCTCCATAACTATTTCACTGAATCCCAACAGACTGAGGGTTCATAAATCCACAATGAATATGCTCATTTTGACCAGTTGATGAGATTTTTTCAGTCCAAAAGCTTACTGAGTGCTTTTGTAATTAGAGCTTGGCTTTAATTATAATTGAGGGGAAAAACTGTGGAATATCAGAAGTATTTATGTTAGAAGGTCAATTCAAACCATTGCTTCTATAAATGCCCAGTAATCGAGTAGCAGTATAAATATTCATTAGGAGCCCTGTCCCTGACCCTTTAGCAAATAATTGGTAATAATCAAATCGTTTTCATGCGCCCCCACCCCACCAATTTGTGGTTAGTGACATCACAACCCTGCTTCGAACCAACATGAGACTTCATTTTTGATCCAGACATTTAAAACCATCCAGAACAGAACATCTGCTAATCTCACACATTGTATTTTAGATACCCCAACACATTTTAAGTTATTTTAACAGTACGTCTTAAAATGCTTTTCCACTGGGAAATTCTCCCTGTCTAATTAAAGTACAGTATTTATCAGAGGAAACCACATTTAGTGGGTGAAGCTTTTTTTTTTTCAGCCCATCGCAGCAGATTAGTGTTCGCCGTCTGCCACTGATTCAACTGCTATCTGATCAAGTTAGGCCCGCTGACTGACAGCCACTTTGCCGCACAGCCAAAGCAATTCAGTCAGCTTTTTATTAGGCTCCTCCAGCCTCTTTCTCCGGCCGCCTGTCGACTTCAAAAGAGGCCATTACACGCTAAAACTGTTCCAGTGAACCTAAAAAGGACCTGTCAACCCCCTTGATGCTGAATAGTGGCATTTCTGTCTTTGACTACACGTCTGTCCATCTTTTAAGGTTCTATTTCGCAGCTGTCTTTCCACTCTAAGGGAGATTATTACACTTTCCCATCTAATCTTCTAGTCTGGCGAGATGCTGAAATTCGAGTCTTTAAAGATCTGCACTGTCACAAGAGCGTTTGGCTGAACAACTAACAAGCAGTCAGCGATCATCTGCATCTGACAAGGGTCGCAATAAACTAGTGGATGTTTCACTTCGATGAGCTACTGGAGAAAATCCATTTATTCCCACCGCAAGAAAACACTGAAATTCTAATGGACCTCAAGGAAAAGTGCTGCAATACTCTTGTCCTTGGTCATTTTTTTGATTGGTGTATCTACAGTTTAATGAAGGAGGCATCGAGGAGCTCTCTGCACCTTCTCACCTCATCATTATCAGCACTGACCAGCACATCCCGGCCTGTGATGCTTATTTTGAGAGGTGATGGCTCGACGTCTGCAGCTTTGGCACAGAAAACTTCTGCACCTCCAAGTCTAATTCAGTGGATAATTGATCATGCCAACGCTAATTATATTCGATGGCTGTCTGTAGATGTGAAAATGTTTTATTAAGAAAATCATTTCACATTTCTGCAGCATCGTTCAAAAAGGATTTAAAAGTTGTTGTTTTTTTATCTTAGATGGAATAAGTTCAGATTGTGGGGACTGTTAAATTGTAGATTGTTGTTAAAGTATAATGGCACACATGGGTGCCCACACACACACACACACACACACACACACACACACACACAAAGAATATTAAATTAAATATAATGAAAGTTACTTGTTTTGTTGAACTAATATCCTGGAATAAGGTTAAAAATACCAATATTTCATAGAGGTGAACAAGGTTTTCAATAAATGCTCTGAATGCTCTATACAGCTGATGTCTGGGAAAGGGAAAAAATGAAACAATAGATTAAGAATAAGAAATGTACTGAATTGACATTTTGACATTTAAAAGTCCTAATTAAAATAAAAGATCTGACATAAAAGAGTATTTCTCTTCTGCATGCATAGGTTTTCCTTTTATTCACAAGTCCTGAAGGCTGTCTGCAATTCGCATTTGAATATACACAATTAAAACAAAAGAAGAAGAAATAATAGAGACATGCTCCATTATCTATTTGTGTGTCTTTTCAGAGTCAACTGACTTTACTGAATTCTAATGTTTCCAATTCAGGAGTTAAAACCTCCTTGGTGCTCCTTCTGTGTTCCCTCAAATTCTGGACCCCTCAAAGAGAAGCATAAAATGGAACAGCTTATAGTTTTTATATTAGTGATGGTATCAGCAATAAAAACCTTTTCAGGAGCATTCACATTCTGGTGGAGTTCATACGTCTCACTGAGTGCACACTCATAAAAACACACCTTGCTTTGCCTCCAGCTCCTCCAAACTAAGGGCGGGCCGCTTCTCTTCCGGTGCGCTGGCTGGGGGAGGCTCCTTTTCAACAATTTCAGCTCCAGCAAGCACAGCTTCCAGTCCTTCCCCGTCTAACAACTTCAAGCAAACACACGGGAGATCTCGTTGTTATTAAAGTTTTTTTTCCCCAACCTTAAAAGTTGAGTTATTTTCCACCAACGGCACCCTAGATTTACAGCATGCGATAAATACCTTGTCCTCGTCCGAGTCGTCGTCCAGTCGGACTCTGTTCTTCTCCAGAGGAAGCATGTCGTTTTCTTTGGGCTTGATTGCAAAACAGATGGGAGCAAAAGATGCTGCGAAGGTGCAAATAATAAAGAAATTTAGGCGAAGGGGCCGAAGAACATACAGAATCTCGCACATATGTGGCAGAAATACATTCTTTCCTCATTTGAATAACTTGGTCAAATGGAAATGTGGGGGTGTAAAATAGAGAGAAAGAAGGGAAGGAACTGAGAAGTTAATGAAAAAGAATAATAAATCATACATAGAGGGACGGGAAAAGAGGCATCAGACTAGTTACTTTAATTATCAAAAAACATTTTTCCCTGGCTGATGTAAAACAGATAGCCTGCCCTCTTCCCTGAAGCAATAACCTGAATACAGGACCTAGATCCACACTGTGGAGAGCTGGGTAGTTACTTGTGTATCGCTCTGGCTTATTAGTTTTGCCTGGTCTGCTCCACAATCTGTCACGTCCTAATAATCTGTGTGCTCGTACGCCTTCATTTCCATATAGTGTATGTGGGTGTGTTTGCAGATCCTGCCGGTTTAGCCTCAGAAGTCTTGTCTTTGCATAAACATTTGTGGCCTGATACCATCAGATGAAATTGCCAATATAAATACAAACAGACTCACAATGCATAAACATCAAAAGGCAGCACGTGCACAGAGATTCTAGGAAATGTATAGTTATGGGTGATCATATACACACACGGAATCAAAGGCTTTGAATGCAATTCAACTAAAGGACAAAAAAGCAACAGAATATTGTACTGCGCGTGGGGATGTTTTGGGAAGAGGTGTTACCTTTTGTCAACATAGACTCCTTGGAATCGTCAGACTGCTCATCGGAATCATCTAGTGTCCCGATCTGGATGGTAGGAAGAAGACAAAAGACACAGGAAAGATGTGACCTGCTGCCATGATTGATTTAAAAATAATGAAGTGAATCAGTAACATGCTGCAAAGGACATACACGTCATCCATCTAAACTCGCACCGCTCAGTGAATCCACATATTGGTAAACAAGTTGAATTGTGACAGGAGACAGATGGAACTGACAATGGCGTTTCAGAGAGGCAGACGTGCTTTTGTTTTTACATGATGCCCACTAATGCTGAGAAGCACAGCGGGAACGTGTGAAAAACTGACAGAAAAGCCCGGTGTACATGAAAGAAAGCCATTTTAGTGTTTGAAGGCTGTTAATGCCTGGATGCATCTGAGTTGTTAGTCACCTGTTCCCCATGGAAGACCGAAATGAGAACAATTAGGCTTGATTATTATAATTAGTCATATGAAGCCCTCCATTCACATTTTGGGTTCAAAGTTGGAGAGACTGTGCCTGCAGAGACACCAACACTGACCAAAAAGAGCAGAAAATGATGCTAACTGATTCCCTTCTGTTCTTCGGTACTGCTAAGGTAGCCGAAAAGTCTTCCCCAAAACTAAAAAAACGGTTTCTAAAACTGAGCCGGTCTGATGAGATTATCTTCACTTAATACTTTATGTGGAACTGCTGTGTCAGAGCCTTAATAGAAAGTGAGGAATCGGACATAATTAACTTTATATGCAGCAGCACTGTCTGGAGATAAACCTCAAACCTTGACCGACACGCCTCTCTTTTTCCTTCATGTGTCGACATCAACCTTTTTTAGGAGTACATTTGAATTAATCCACAGACCACGAAGCCAAGTCACAGGAAAAGATGTTGAAAACATATAAATCAGGTTTGATATGACAGTTGCTTTTTTGTAATCAATTACTCTGGTCCATAATCAGTTGCTAAGATATTTTTTCCCTCCCTAATTCTTCCAATTTTCTAATCTGAATCGTTGGCAAAGTGCCTTTCTTTATTTTTAATCTGCTACTTGTATGGTCAAAATTATCCCTGGATGCTTACAACCAAAGACACAGAAGTAATGTATAATTACATGTGTGTGTACACATATATGCTTTCATAACAGCTGTAATGGCAGGCTTATCTGCAAAGGTCAAATAAGCAATAAAAAAAACCTTAAGGCTATGAATCGCCTGATGAACTCATGATGCATCAAGGGTAAAAAAGTAAAAAATCAATTTCCTGAGATCCAATTTGTCATGTTTTTAAATGTCCATCAAAGCAACTACAGAGTATAAAAATGTGAGTGAACAGTGCTTTCGACGGTCAAAGCAGTAAATAAAGCCAACAGAATACAACCGCCTTAAAGATTTCCAAAGATCAAAGCTTCCGAAAGACTAAGTGGACCAAAACTCCACACAAGGCAGGAAATTGAACCTTCCTACGTAATCACAAGTAATAGTCTGGCACTGACAGCACTTTGACAATAATCAACATACATACGTAAAGGGTTTTAACCCATGCTTGGCTAAATGTAAATTTATGATAAATCCAAGAGATCTTAATCCCAACAGTTTTGATCCAAAGAGTATTTATACACATCCTTTACAAAAAGAGTCAGACTGTCATGTGAACTGATGAGTGCCAGCAAAGTACAGAGCAGCTGTTTCGTTTGTTTTTTCCAGGTTGAATAAATGTTCTTTTTTTGCTAACTACTACACTGCAGTCATAACACTCATTGACAGCAGCAATTTCTGCAGCCTCAGCTCCTTAATGGAATGCACTTCTCTGCGCTCTGACAAAATAATGGATTTGATTCCTCATAAGACAAATAGGTCCGTTCCGAACTCGTTCCCTTCTTGATATTTCCCTTTTTCGCTCTGCATATATCTGCATGCAGAGTTTTTATATAAAGCCTTCATACATTCATATGTGTTGTCTGACTGTTTAATCAAGGGTTCAGGCTTAAAGGGGAATCTAACCTACACCAGACGAGCAATAAAGGAAATCTTAGGTGTGAAAACCTCTCAAAGAGATGTTACTAGAAACGGGTGGGTTTATCTCTGATGAAAAGATTTCTGTCCTTGAAGATACAAAATGAGAATGAAAGACAAGTTCTGCTCTTTATTGCCTTGAATTCCATTGATCTCTGGAGAATACCCTTTACAGATAATCTCTTTGTTCCCGGAACTGTATTTGTCATTTATTTCAATATTCTGAGGATATCTCATCCAAGCATATCAGGAACAAAAAGCAACCAATTTCAAGGTTGACTTAGTGCTCTGAGTGACTTGACAACCTTTTTCCAATCTTAACAATGATCCCAAGAATTCATTAAAATCCACGATGAACTTTAAGAGAAGGCTAAGTGCCCTGACTTGAACACTAGAAACCAGAAGGTTGATTTGAAGCATGAAGCACATTCCTCCGAATTATGTTTCTTTTTTTCTTTTGTCAGACGGCTAATAGCGCTGGAATCTGGAACGTAAAAGAGGCCGATTAAAAATACACGTCAGCCCGCAGCATCGAGAGCCTGAAGGTTTGCCCTCAATAAATCCAGGAGAGGTGTCTGGTCAGTAACTTGATTTCACTGCCATGACTGCATTTTGGACTCAAAATCACCACCTAAATGCAAAACTCAATTAAAATGTTCTGCTTGCTTTGTAAAACAGCTCCATTCCGTCCATAGGAGTATGAAGGGATTCTGGGTAGAAAACGGTCATTTCAGTTGTCTGTTGATTTGTAGCCGGTGAGATGCATACTAAACTGAGGCGGTGTCATAAACTAGCACAATTCATAACCCAGGAGCCATAGAGATTACATTTAAATTTCATGGCTATATGAGAGATATTCTGTCAGCGGAATGACGTGTGTGCTTGTGTCAAAAGTGGAAGTTCTGATCTAAGGTGCCAAGGGAAACCTGAAGGGCGACAGATTCGTAGAGACGATACCTCTGACAGGACTTTTCCTTCCTTTTGCATGAAGTAATTCTTTTTAAACTCGTAATAGGTGTTGTACTGGTTCCAAGACTGCAGAAAGTCAAACCTGTAATGGACAGGGAGAAGAGCAAACAGTGCATGAGATGACAGGTTGGCCCTCCTAAAAAAAAAAACAGCAGACAATGATGAAGAGGCACGGCAGTAGCTGGTAGGAGTGCATAAAACCAAGACCTGACTGGAATGAACGATTTTCAAAAGCTGAAAAATTCTAACCGGGGATCGTTCTTGGCGCGGACGCTGGCCTCGAACTTCAGACCATTCCTCGCCACGTACTCTGCCAGCTTGTCTATGACTGGCTGGATGTCAGGGGGTGGGGGGATGATGGCTGCTGCTACTGGTGCTGGGGTGGAAACCGGAGCTTCAGGTTCCGAGCTATTTCTGACAAAGGACAAAAAAAAAAAAAAAAAGACACTAAGCATTTGCTCGAATAAAACTGATAGGAAATTAAAGTTACTCGTGTCATAATCGTGTCTTTATCGTGGCAATTAAAGAAATGATACCTTTATTTTATGTTTCTGAATTATTAGGAAGCATTTTTGATCTGGCATTCCTCACCTGGTTTCCAGAACATTCACAGGAGTGGCAGTGGTGGAGACCTGAGAGGGGGTTGGGGTTGGGGTTGCTGATGGCACTGTGACAGTTGGAGCTGAAGCGGGAGGCGTTCCAGAGTGGGCCAAAGCTTCGGAAGAAGCGGAGGGGGGCATGACAGCTGACGGCACACTGTTGTAATATGAGGTGGCATCTATGCCCGGGGGAGGTGGGGCTAAGCAGAAGGATCCATCGGGGAGCATGTAGTAGCCGTAGTACACAGCTGAAAACAAATGAGGAAACTGTTACATGAAGTACAGTAGCCCGTAAAACTGGCTGCACTGCTCCTGATAACTCACAAAAGGTTCTGTTACATTAAGTGAAACATATGAATGGATGCAAAACAGCCCTGATTTGGTTTTTAATGAATAGATAACTGACTCTGCTTTTGAATTTGGACATAAACTGAACAATAGTCCCATTATTTAAAACCCCAGCACTAAAATTATAGCTGTAAGAGGATACTTTTTTTGGGTTGTTTTTGTTAGACTGACACAGTCTCTGATTTAACACAATGCTTTGAGCTCGGAAAGACGAGGCTGTTTTTCTCCAGCCCCTGCATAACTAATTGGAACAGCAATACGTTCTTTTATTCTCCACATTAAGTCAGAGGTGAATTTTGAGGGTAAAAGAAAGATCTCCTGTTTCATCGTGCACTCTTGCATTATATAGACTTTGCATTTTAACCTTTGGAATGAACATCTGCAGGTCACAGAAAAGCCTTCCACGGCTAGAAATGGAAGCTGTCAAGTCCAACCTGCATAGGGAGGAGCCTATAAATAAAACAAATGCCATATTTCTGCTCTATCACTGAATTTAAATTACATTTTCGAGGAAAGAGATCGGGGAATGTGGACAAAGAAATCCCACCTAATATTCTGCATGGAGCAGCAAGTTCAACCTAAATATCATGTTTGTCATTTATATGACTAAAAGTGCCTTTGTTTACAGACTATAAGGAAATGTACATAGAATTAAGTTTCAGGACTGCAAACAGGGACAAAAATGGTCTGTGTCAGAGTAGATATAAACTCATTGAACTGGTTGACTTCATGACACAATCTGTCCAAGCAGAGGCTGTCATTAAACTCATCATGTGATGAATGACAGAGGCGTCAAATATACAAGTAAAGATACATTTAGCCTAGTGGTTGGCCAAACATCCAGTAAGTGTTGAATCAGGTCATTTCTCTCTTTATTCCTCCAGCATTTTGATGTCCGTTAGGAGGAGATGAAATCATAGCTGATACTAAAGGTATAAGCAAAGTATTCCAGCAAGGTATAAGTCAAGCCACGAACACATTATGGCTATGAATGCTATCAAGCAGCAAGGTCATTAAGGCATTAGGTGCATCGACAGCTATGTCAGGGATGGATGAATTCCTAAAGGAAGAATAAGTGCAAAATGAAAGCAGGAGCCAAAGTCTGCCGGATCTAAAGGTATACATAAGCAACTGTCAGGTATATGAAAGAATATGTCAGGTATATGTCGTAAATATACAACATGTTCGAGACAAATTGAATGCAAGGCCTTGTACAAAAAAAAAAAAACTCTCCCAAAAAGAAAATGCTGTCAGGAGCTCACGCTGATGCACAACGCAATTTGTCGATGAATGAAAACCCCTAATGTTGTCAATCATGGCGTACATTAATGCAAGGGTGGCTTAGGTCAGTCTCATCCATGTAAGTCCGCATTTGCCAATGTTGTGGGATTGTTACTTTTACTCCTTAATGTTTTAAAGCTCTTTTGTTTACGCTTGGAGAGAATCTTTTAATTAAAGATAGTGGCAGAACCACATACAGTTTTAGACATACTAAACCAAGAAGGATTATGAAAAAAAATCCTTGGACAGGATAAATGAATCTGCATTTTTGAAAATGGTTTTGTTTTTAATCCCCCGAGGAGCATGTGAACTTCCTCACATCAAACCGACCGTCAGGTCTGACTGAACTTGTAAAAACAAGGCCACAATTCTAAATTGAGTCTGCCTGACCCAAAGCCCAGGTCTGTGTGCGATACATGTGAGCTGATTCAGGTCAGGAGCTGGGGTTCTCCGGGGGTCTGCTCTGGCCCAGAATATCTCTAAACTCAATATGACTTTTCAGTTAAGGCACTAAGAATTCCCTCACATCAATTATAAACCATGGTGAGTTTCAGAGCGAGAACACTGTAAAGGGAACGGGGAAAAAAGTTGAAACTCTGTTGCCAGCTTTGCTGTGGTCATAATTATGTGCTGATAATTATGAGGGCAGAGAACTGGCACTGGGCCTTCGACTCTTTCTGAACTGCTCAGCGAAAAAGGCGGGCTCTTGTATTTTCGCTAATCAAACCTTTTGTTTGCTCGAAAAGGGAAAGCCTCGTTAGTTGAGAGAGGAAAAAATAAAGAAGTAAATAAAAAGATCCTCACGGTCGGCAGTGTACTGGGTGGGTGCAGCCGGTGCAGCGGGAGCACTGGGAACACTGGGAGCACTGGGAGCAGCGGGAGCACTGGGAGCCGCCTCCTCTGGAGTAGGTACCGCTGCTACCGTTCCATTTCTTTCTTGTTGGGCTTTTCGTACAAGAGCTGCCAGGGGATGATCTGGGTCCATAACCTTTAGAGGCTGCAAAAGAACAAGACCACTTCATTAAAAACGGGGGATTTTTGTAAAGGAGTTACAAAGCAACTTAGATCACACCGCAGGGGACTTCAATGAGCTGGAACCACAGTGGTCTAATACATATTTATGTGAACATTAAAAAAAAAGGACAGTGTTCTCTCAGGTCTATTATTTCACAGGTTCATCTGATGTCGTGTTTGGGAAACACGACATCAGATGAACGAGACATGACTTTTTACACCGTGTCCTCATTCATTAAATAAAACGAAGCCCTAAATGCGGAGGCGGCGGGGAGGAAAAGCGAACGCATCCTTACTGCTAGCATAAAATCAGCAACTCAAAGAGCAATCAGATCTATCTATAAAAAGGAGGCTTTTTTTTGTTTTTTGTTTTCTGGAACATTTAGGTGTGTGCGTGTAAACTAAAGACAAACAAGATGGGGCGACGTCAGCTACCATCGCACAGAAGTAATTATTGCTGCCAATCAATCTGAAAGCGGTTCGAAATCAATTCTCTAGACAGTTTGGTGTCCATCACTCTCCAGTGAGAGAGATTATTCACAAGTGGAAAACATCCACAGCAGCTGTCAATCATCCCAGAAGTGGATGTCCCTGTAAATTTACCATAAGGTCGGACTGTTCCGAGAAACTGAGAAAATAGCATGTTAAATAATCAAGTTTATATAAGATAGAAAATAACAGTCAGTATGACTTTTGAAAGGGTTGATAAGTAAAGAAAAACGATTTTGTTAAAAGTGGTTCTACATTTAGGGGATGTGGACAGGTATATAGGCATTACTTCAACATAATGCTTAGTTTTTCTCAGAAAAATAACGATGCAGTGGAATATGAGAAGCTCATTTGAGCAGATCATGTGTTAAGGGCATTTCTACATGTCCTGAGATGTAAAGCCTTTAAAACCACAGACTGTATATTTTCACACTAAACATTCAACTTTATTTGATGATAGAAACCATGAAATCTGAGGTAGCTTTCATTTAAGTAAAGAACAGGGGTCATAAAAAGTTGGCGGTCCTTGGTAGAACATTCATTTGGTTAGTCTGAAAAGATAAATCTTCACCAACTATGAAAACAAATCTAGTATGTTTTGCAAAAGGAAATGTTTCCATTTAAAAGATTTAAAACTGTCTTTACAATGAGAATGCTAAGAAAACAGGAAAAGAAATAGTCTCTTATAACCATCCCTATCCAATGGAATTCATATAACTTAAAGATATTTAAATTTTCTGGTAGAAAAAAAAAGAAAATAGAATAACCTACCTCTTACTTGCATACTAAGCTACAATTTGTAATTATTGTTCCGCAAATTCAACATTAAAACCCCTCCACTTCTGACGAATCCAAAATATCTACTTCATGAAGTATGTAAACACAAAATCTCTTTACACACAGCAAATGCCCTCAAAAGAGGAGGTGCAGCCTCAGCCGGTGCCTTTAAAGAAAAACAGACAACAAGACAAGTGGGTCCTAAGAGATAAATGAGAGGGGTTGTTTGTATTAGTCAATATGTCACTGAGCTGTTAGGAGTATTCTGTCCGGCCTGCCTTCTAACCACAAAAACTTCATGACCTACAGGAAAAGATCCGTAGCAAGATGTGAGATGCTAGCTGGTGCAGACAGGTAAAGTCTTGCATTGCGTGGCCTAAATACAAACTACTTTACCCTTGTCAGCTCCTCCAGGCGAGAGCTCTTTGTGGGAGCAAAAAGGCTGGGGTGAAGGTAGTTGCCATCACCATCATCATCAGAATCATCCGAATTAGACTCTAGAGAGAGAAAAGAAAAGAATGTCCAAATGCAAAAAAGATTTTCTATCAGGACATCCCAATGCTATAGCTGTAGTCTCACAGTATTTGTGGTGTGAGCGGCTGACAGCTGCGCTCTCCAACTCACCCTGCGACTGCTCCTGTTTGCCGGACGAGGCGAGGCTGTATCGACCCTCCTTCATCGCGCGCAGGATGTGCTTGTAATAAGGGTTCAGGTAGTGGTCGAAACGAAGGAAGTCAAACTGGGAGTTCCTGGACTGCTTTGCTTTGAGCACTATCTCAAACTGAGCCCCCTGCTGGCACACAAACTTTGCCGTCCTCTCGATGATGTTGTGGGTTTTGATGGTGGCTGGCTGCAGAAGGGGAAGAAAAGAGACAGCAAAGATCCATCTTTTGAAATGACAGTTTCGTTATTTTTTGCTAAATTTAACTTTGAATATGCAAAATTACTGTTCAAAGCCAAATGGATATTAAAAAAAGTTAGCGAACGTAAAGACAGAAAAGGTAACCTTCATGTTGACACCTCTATGTGGTGTTATAGAAACAAACACAGAATAAAAAAAAGAAGTGTGAAATGAGTTCAAATGAGACCTTTTCAGAAGCAAAATGTAGAGGCTTTAACAGAGGCAGTAGTCATGTGTATCATAGATGCACTACTTCTGGTGCATAATGAAATGACAGCTGTGGGGAAATTGTGAAGGTTCACTTTGCAGAGTTAGAACAAAGTAAAAGCTGTTTAAATATTTCAGTTTAGTTATACTGCTGTTATTTTGTTGGGACGGTCGGTTTACTTGAGGTATAATCTATTATATATGATCTGCAGTTCAAATTCACATAACACCCAAACTACCCCTTGGAAAGGCCTGCTTAAAACCGGGATGCCTAAGCAAAAATATCTGGATGAGATCTCCATGCTATGGCAGATCACAAGAGAGAAGTCAAAATAAGGAAGATAAATCATTTATAAACAAATTTGGTATAGAAAACACTGTTAGTCTGGTTAAAGACACAAAACCATTGATAAATACTACATGAATGATTACTATAGGAAATAATAGGATAGAATGGAAAAGAAAAATACTTAATATTTATTGATTTATTCTGGATGTCACCATCCAGGAGGCAGAGGTGACTCCACCACTCACCAGTTCCACATCTGGTGGGATATCAAGTCCTGCGGGGGCAACAAATGGTTCCTCACTGTCCTCAGGCTCTGCCTCTGCTACGAATGCAAAGAGATATGAGCACAAAATTAATTTGAATGAATCATTTGAAACAAGAACTACAACACCTGACTGGATATCAATTCTGAGGACCAGAAAAATTATGAAAACTGAATTCTTAAAACATCTTTAAAACAAATGAAAAGTCATTGCCTGTGGTATTCTCCTGACATACCACTAAAACCCTGTTCCTTCAGGTTGATAACAACATTGGGGTCAGGTGGAGAGGTGATTAAATTTTTAATACGGCACTGCAGGGAGGTTGCAGGGTGATAAAAGAGCCCTTTAATTTAATACAGTGGAGCAAAGGAGAGCCAGGATGCATTAGACTTCGCATGCACAGTTTATCATAATATATTTTTAAAAAGTTGCTTTTGGTGGAGTGTGCAATGCAATATGTTCACTCCACATAGTGTCACTACTCGGCTCAAATCCATAGAAAACAGCCTATATGTTGCCTTGGACAACATAATTGTTGTTACTTCACTTAGATAATATAGAATTAGTATCACTATTGGCCAACTTGTATATATTTTTAAAAAGCATCAACATTTTGATATATAATATAAAGCTCAGAGGTAATTGCACACCCAAGCACAATAAATCTAGGCTTGAAATATCTCTTCAAAGCAAAAGGACACACATTAACATAGAAGTGGGAAGTGTGCTCACTGATGAATGAGTCAATGACAAAGTGGGTAGATTTAAATAACTTAAGTATAACAAAAAATGTCTTTATTTTAAAGGGAATCTCTAACAGCTGGTGAATTAACTGGGTAATATTGGTGACCAGTTTTACAGTGGGGCCAACAGTAAGAAATATCTCATGTTTTGACACCAAGCATATTAATTACACTGTAATTAACCTTCTGTTTCCTCTGGCTTTCATTCAGCAGAAAATAACAGCGGTTATGATCTAATTTATGCCATTATTATGTGTGTGTCTGTTCCTGTCAGAGCCAACTGTCCCTTTGACTGCATTAATCTGCATTGTTCTGGAGAGGCTCATAACTTGTTTCATTAAATCTGCATTTGTGAATATGACATACGTTTTAAAATGTCCTGTGAGATGTAAATCACAGTGATTAAATGAGGAAATTCCACTGGCTGCAGAATCTTTAAGTTACATCAAAAGTCGCTTTTAAAAAAACTACAACAAGGGGCGTCTCTTCTACCTACCATGATGTTACAGAGACCACCCCCAGCCATTTCTCTCTCAAATACTTAAAGTTGCTAAGATGTATGACCATCTCTATTAAAACTGGAAAGTGAGGAAATGTGGGAATGCTCATGATGGAAAGTTTATCTCAGGTCAAAGACTTGATTTTAGCCTCCAAGTGTGAATTAGGTTGTGATTAAGGTTTGAGCTGGGGATGATCATCAAGTCATGAGCTTAAGGTTCAATATATGTCTAATAAATTAAATATGTCTGACATGCAAGTACAGCCAAATTCCTTAATTTGTACTTCTGATGAGTGCACTTGTCTGACAAAAAATCCGGTAAAGTATTCAAACTGTTTTTATGCAAAAAAGATAGAACTTTTGTGAGTAAGTCCATCCCTTTGTGTCTAATTGAGGTACCCACCTTTCACCAAGAGATCTGAACACGTGTGCCAGTGTGGGTTCTAGAGCTTTTGTTTACTTTATTTCAGTCAGACTAACATGCCTACGTGCATTTTTGAAGGCCTGTCTTGGTCTGGTAAACACAACCACTTGTTTAAGTCTCAAATAAACGTGCTCATTCAAAGTCATCGCCTTTGCGAGTGCGAGTAGTCAAACGCGCTCCGAGAGCTGAGGCTGATAAAGGCAGCGTGAGGTGAGCTTTCGCTGAAAATACTTTGGTTTATTTGTGCCTTAAAGGCAGAAACTCCACTTCCTTAACATCCTTGCAGGTGCACGTAGGCAGATAGTCACTTGGACGTAACACAGGAATCACAAGCATGTCTCCGATAAAAAGTAAGAGGATTTGAACATTTTTATACAGTAGTTTAACATTCAAATTATTACTGGGATTTATAAAGAATAACAAGAAGTTCAAAGTGAAGTTAGATAACCTCAAGGCAGCATGTTAGAGCCACGGGAAAGGAATGGGAAAACAAGATTAGATGTTGTTGACTTCACAAAGTACTATTCTGCCAACTCCTCTGCTAGGTGTTGTTAGATTTTCATTCAATGTGCAATTCTTTAACAGCTTCTCACCAGCTTCCCTTCTAGCATCCTCTTCTTCTGTGGGCTGGGAGGGGTCATAGTAGTCGGCACTGTATTTGAAGGCCACTGCGTTGTAGGTGCCTTCGTCTGCCAGAGCCTCACTCAGACGTTTGTACTCCTCCTCTGTGGAAAACCAGGAGAAAGAAAAAGTCGGATTGGACAAACTTATGACTTTGGTGAGCTGAAGCAGAACAGATAGATGCGTTCGTCATAATAATAAAGTAGCATCAGAAGACAACGCCAAACCCTGTTTGATATTCTAAAAGAATTTTCCAACCTTAAGTTGCTGCGCTTGAAATATTTGAAGTTGTCGGGCCTGTTGTGTTACGCTTTGGTTTGGTTTCTTATCATGCACAAAACAACGGTGAATCCAAATAAATTGCTAAAACCCCCACAGGAGAACGCTCATTGGGAAGATAAATCTCAGGCGAGAACAGGAAAGTAAACATAAGCTAGACATCCTGCCAGCCTGAATATCAATTTTGCAGCACACTGTTGGAAACCCAGGTCAGATCCTGACTCAGTCTATCTAGTTGCAGGCGAATGCTGATTTCATTCCCATCCCAGGATAAAAACTGTGTCCCGCAGCAGGACTCGTTTAGCTCAGGCTTGCCAGAGAGCAACACGCTGTTGGGGCAGATTGCTTTCACAGCACAAACAAATCTCTCCTGGATTTGTTTATCACTGATTTGAGACCTCCAACTCCAGGCCTAAACACTATGTGGAGTATAGTGTTTCAACAAGGTAAAAAATATAGTTGAGGGGCACAATGAATGCTTTGACTTTTAAGGATGCCTGAAGAGAAGTTTTCTTGAAAATAGATTTGCGTTTAGGTTACCTTTTTTCGTTTTTCATGGTACTGGTTTTGACATCTGATTGAGACGATCACTCTGATAACTTATAATTCATGTAGTGAGAACTGTTTTATCCATAATCAAATAACATTGTGGATTATCCCATTACTAAGAATGAAAATATTAACTTTTCATAGTTTGAAATCTGATGTAAGACTTTGAAAGATGGGAACCAGATTCAATTGATGGTATGGAACTGGCGCCTGCATAGATTTACACAGCATGTATAAAATTCGTATCACCTCACCCTTAGTATACAGATTGATAATCTACTGAGTGAATGGAGTCTGGTGTCCAAATCCGTGGGCAATCTACAGCCTGTGGGATGAACCGTCTGTTGCAAATACAGGGATGTCCATGTGGAACGCAAAACACTAGCTGAATAATGCTGGCTTGTCAGTTTGGGCATAAGACACCATATTTCACCTGAAGTACTGGCCCATTAAGTCTTATTTAGTCATTAAGTATTCCTCTCCAAATGTTGCACTGTCATCAAACATCATCTTCTGTCGTTCAGTTTCGTTATGAGCTAAAATGGCACAGAGTCAAACCGGGTCTGTTCTAGAGACAGACAAGAAAACAGTTAATCCATCAAAAGATTTTGGTCTGATATGTGATCAATATTTCAGTTGCAAACTGTTGACCTCACTTTGTTAGATGTACACAAAGTGATAAAGAGGACAAGATTATCTTGACCAATAGATTCCTATGAAAAAAGAATCGTGATAAGTGCCTCATACAATAGGATGTTTTCTTGGCAACATCCACAGGGACACAACAATGTCTTATAATTAAACCATTTCAGCACTGAAGCTCTGTTTAGAAAAGAGTGCTACTCAATAATCCTGCCCTTATAAAGGAGGGAAAGAGAAAAACAAACAAATAATTCCTCAAGATTCAAGGCTGATTCACATGAGCTTACATAGACTCTGCCCGCTTGGCTTATTCAATCAATAAGTATCTGCAGACTTTGAGTACAAAATACATCTTGTCCCAACTTAAATGATGGTGGTTTTTTGATGTTCCACTGTTCTGAAAAAGGATTAGATGAGTATGACTCATTTAACACTCAAGGCTTATATAACCCGAGGACAGCAAAAGGCCTTTTCCGATGCATGTTGAGAACTGTCTCTGTATTTCCTAATCAATTATGAACTGTATCCTCTTATGCAAAACCGGATCAGAGGTGATACAGAGGAAGACGGCTTAAATCATAGAAATGAAAAGCACAATCGCTACGACCTTCTTCCGATGGCTTTCAAGAGACCAAGGAGCTGATTTTTCGTTTGTCAGGGTAGTCACTGAGGCAAAAAGGTGTGTAGGGACGGAAACAAGTACAGCAAACCCTCCACTCTAAACAACCCTGCTGTCATCACTGAGCTGATTCTGGCGTTCTGCTCAACGGGTCTAAGTCCACATCCATCAATAACTGAGCCGGCTCTGTCTGACAAGTTGGTATACAAGTGCAATTGTACATCCATATCAGAAACTGCATCTTGCTCACCCTGTCTCGCCTCTTCTTCCAGCAGGTCCGTGTGTAGAGCCAGGTACCTCTCCTCATCACACAGTGCCTCTATCCTGGCCTCTTCCTCTGACAGTTGATAGGATGTATTCCATGACCCACTGTCATACTCTGACAGGTCATGCAAGTGACCCCGCCCATCGTATCTGTTGGATGATATTCAGAATTAGAGAAAGAGAACAGACCAAACCCTTCAAACAAAAAACATTAACCTACTTACCAAGGTAGCAGGACCTAAAACCCATAGTGTAAAAGGTCAAACGGATCTAACTTTTGCCATGAGATAACTAGAACTTCTGAAATTACCTCAAAATACGCAATAACAACCAATCTAAGTCCCTGGGACTAATCTCAGAAGACTTAGTAATTGTCTGGATTCTCCTAAAATACCTTTGTACTGTTTTAAAAGCCAGTAACCCTACATTCAAAGTAAAGGGAAAAAAAACAATAAAGAAAGAAAGACAAACAAAACAACTCGCCTCTTACCTTACAGGGTTCAAATCCCCCCTGTAACACTCATGATTACTTCTAAATCTGTAAAGAAAGTTACATTCACACAAACCCGAGCACATAAATACCTATCCGTAAGAACCCAAATGGACGACATTTTCCAGGGTTCGTCCCTCTACGCCACCTCTCTGTTGCAGTTTCTTCATGAAGACAAAGAAATGGAGTGCTGTGGCTGGCATTCAGGGTTTGGAAGGACCCCTAAGCCTAACTTGCTGGGGAAAAATGGGTTATGCAATAAAGACACACATACAAATTGTGTACAAATGAAACATAAGTTGGGTCAATGCAGACCAAGGTGATCCAATGCAACAGCTGCCAGTGATCGTCTTACATAGTTTTGTAAAACAAACCACAATTCCAACAGCAACAGAAACAACTCAAAGGCTGTTTGCTGCCTGCTACGTCTTGATCTTTTGAATCACCTTGACTACAGGGACTATTGTCTGGGCAAGAATTTGCTCTAGTTTTTGCTGCTATAAGCATGAAAAAAAGAGGGGAAAAAAAGAAACTTTCATTCAGTGTCTGATCACTTCAGCTTTTAGTCAAAGTTGTACAGGACAGAAAGCATGTACCAATCTTTAAAGATATAGAATCATAACTGATGTTTTCAGAGGAAATTCCACTAACATGCTAGGATGCAAAGCCCATTTAAAAACCAATCACAGTGGTTCTGAAACCTATGCGTATTTCTATGTTTCATGTAAAACATAATTTAACACAAGAGAAAGTCTTGAAAACATAAGCTGTTATGCTAATTCATAAAGTCATTGATGTTTAGGGTCTACCTTGGCTTGAAGTTAAGTATAATGATATATAGTAAACACTGTCCGTCCTGATGCAATGCATTTGTCACATGAGTAGAAATCATTGCTAGCTATAGCTGGAAGGCCTGTTGTGGCTAACGTTAGCCGGAGGCATTTGCATGGTAACATGTAAAGCAGACTCAAGATAACATTTTCGTCAGTTCAATACAACCAAAGACAAGTTAGGAGGCAAGAAACAAAGCATTCGACATCATTTGCAGGTGTGTCAGAGCTTCTGCAAGACAAACTCCATCTGGTCCCTTCAATTGTGAAACAGGCTAACGGACAGAGATGGTTAGCATAATGTTTCGGTCATAGTTTGTTAAACCGACCTATCAATCATGATGCTCTTGTCCCCCATCCATGGGATTAGATGTTTTCCGTGTTCGTGGTAAAGAGCCCTTTCGTCGTCTCGGAACAGTTTGCAGGCATAGCCGAAAACCAAGAGGTCGGCGTATTTATCACTATCACTGACATCCTTTTTCACGGGTTTGTTGTTGGGGTCCTTCTTTGCCGCTCCACGACGATACATCTCTCCGATGCTCAACAAAAAACAGATTGTCTTATAAAACAGAATAGTAATGATGACTCTATGATGGCTTAGTCAACCCAAAAGGCTAACAGATGGTCCCAACGTTTGAACAATCCGCGAGTTTTTCCCAAACAAGTTCTACATACAGAGGGCCGCCATGTTGGAAAGACAGTAAACGTAACGAGTGTCGTATAAGCACTTTCATTTCCCCTCCTAAATAACTTTGCACATAGTTTTATGTTTAAAAAATATATATGCATATTTTTGTCTTAGTTATTTTCTGTGGTTATTTTATTTTTATTTTAATTGCCTGCGTTGTTTTTTTTTAACACAAGTGTTGTACTTTTCAATTATGACGAAAGTGCTGGGTGAGTTTCCAGGGTCCATTGGGCTCTCAACAGCTGATCACGTAAGGACTGTAGGACACAACCATAATACATTTAATGCATTTCAGTGTTACTTTTTAAGTTAAACCCCCATTTTTATATGTCAGAAGACACTAGGGTGTCTCACAACTAATTATGTATATCTATAATTATTTCTAAGGTATTTAGATTTATATTGACCTGACGTTTATCCATGTGAAATACTAATATTGTGCAAAGGAAAAAGAACTAAGGAAAATCAACTCCGGCTCAATAACTTTATATATTTATGTACTAAATAATGCATCAATATCAATAGTGTTCCAATGTAACACTTAAAAATAAAAAGCAAGGACCTGTTTAATGTTTAATGCTTATAACTATCTTAATATTATTTCATACGTCTAACAGGTGATACAAATTTTTAATGAGGTTAAACGGTTTTCTCTTAGCCTTTTGTCAGTTTCTGACTTGAAATCCGAACTTAACGTGTCTAACTCTCTGAGTCAGACTTTCAAATCAAATCAGATTTGAACAGCTATCTGAACTAATCTAATGCTTACTTGTATTTGTAGGTTTTAAAAACTGCAGTACAGTTGATTTAAGCGCTATATTTATTATATTTTTAGACCATGAATACCAGTTCACTGCACATCAGACTATAAACTGTATGAATAGGTTTGGACATTGTTTTAAATGTAAACAGAAACTTTATAGGAACCAATATGGAGTCTTCAGGTCATATCATCAGGGATGCAGACATGGTCTGATGCAGCTGCAGATGGTCTCCTCTCCTCTGCACTCCTAAGGGTGTGGCATCCATGGTTACAAAACATAAGTAAATACATTTTCATTTGCCTGAACTCTGTGAAATTTCTGAATGGCTTCACTTTATTTTTAAATGATTATGTGCTGATGGCACTGTTTTTGTGACTATTTCTCCACATGGCAACGCTTAAACAACGCTTTAACTGATGAGCTGTATTCACAGACTGACATCTCTGGATGTGTTCCTGACCCCATGCAACAATTTCCACGGTAAAATGAAATTAAATGAACCCAAATAATACAGTTTTTCCCAATACACACCGAACGGTATTAAAAGATCTCTCGCTTGATGCTATTACCGGTATATAACAGATGATGGAATAAGTCTTTGCAATTTTGTGGAAATTTTTTTCTTAAAATTGCTCTACAATTTGCAGACACAGTTTTAGCATATTTCTGAACATCTATCCTTTCTTTCTAAGAGACTTTGGAACGGTAAAATGCTCTCTTCATACCCAGTAATTATATGTTTTCAATTAACATAGTGACCTATATGCTCCTCCAGCTGATTGTTTTTGCTTTTGCAGTCTTTTGCTGTCCCAGCTTTAAAAAAAAGAAAAAAAACAAGATGAGCTTATTTTAGAAAATATGTCAAATCTATATCTTTAACTCTTTATGAGATTTATAAATCATTGCTTATCATTTATACTTATATTTTACCCAGTGGGGCAGCTGTTCTGTATTTACACACCATGTCAGACCTGAAACCACTGTGGTAGTGGGCAGCTGAGATCAAATATATGTTAGTTTTTGACGTGACAATTTTCTGATATCGGTCCGCTGCTGTCCAAATAGCATCAATCCTGCATGCCAAAATACCAGCCGCTTGACAGCCGAATGTATAACTAAAGTAGCAGCTCACAGACTAAAGGCTGAGCACACAGAGGCAAAGTCCACCCACGTCATATACAACAGTTCCTGTTTGTTTTTATTGAACCATGTTCAATTTAAAGTTTTCATACAAGCAACCTATTCCAAAATCATATTGCAGCCAGCAGTTTTGGACAGTGCAAGTGGTTAAATAGGGCTTGTACACAATTTGGCCCTCTGCAGCGATAATTAACTTTCTTTGAAGTGGAGTTGTATGAGGCACTTAACAATAGTGAGTGTATGACCCACAAGTGGTGAACATTCAGTTTGGTAAGAAAACAAAGCAATGCACTTCTGTAAAACAAAACATCTTTGGCTATGGTTTGTACAGTCTATGATCGTTTAATTTAGGAAGTCTTTTCCGGCTGGTTTACAGGGCAAATTGCTTGTGGCCCCTGTGCTGCCTCTATTGCTTGGTTTTGTTTGAGTTATGTGTCAATTGACAGTGCAGTAAAGCAGCAGTTCCCTAGTTTTTGGATGTAAAAAAAAATGTTTTTTCACAAAAGTCTTGTTGACTTTGAGAAAAGCGGCATTTCAGTCTACCAAGGCTCCCAGTGGTATCTGTCTTATACCAAAGTAAATATGTAAAAATATTATAAAAAGCTGTAACTGTGAATTGTCAGATCTTTGTGGATCCTCCTGTCAGCTTATCTACACCAGGGACATGCTAACAGTCAACCACTGAGGGCAACTCTAATGATGGATAAGTAACTTGTGAAACTCTCTTCAAAGACACAAAACGGATACGTTTAAAGATATATTTCAAGGCCATAACTTTAAGAGAGTTTGCCTGAATTTTTATGCAGGAATTTATAAACAAATTCAGATGGGGGGAACAAGTTGTTCTTCAGTACTCTTGGATACAAATTATTTGATTATCAAAAAGCTAAACATAGGCACGATGCTAACACTATGACTATTGGCAAGTCATATAAGCGAGTATATATGTAATTTTAATTCAGTATGAACACTAATCATAAACAATTCAACGTTTTTTTTTTTTGTGTATTTTTTTTTTTGGGAGGTATTTCTTTTCTAAATCTGTTTACTTAAATTCAGAGTCAAAGCCTATCTTAGCTGTAATCAGGTAAGAAGCAGGGTGCAGCCTGGATGGATGCCCAGTCCATGTTTATTTATTCTTGTTTTATTTATTTATTCTTTGCTTACTGGAGCCTATTGGATTGTACTATAAAAGCAAAACAACCATCTTCTCTAAGCTAGAGACATGCACTGTGGTCCAGAGTTCTTCAAACCTGCCCAAAATATTTTTCATGTTTCTCTGCGCCACCACATCGGGTTCATCAGACTAATACATAACTTAAAGAGCGGAACAGCAGCTACTGGCTGTGTTTTTGTTAAACTTTGACCACAGGTTGGCATGAAATTAGAGGCGGAAACCAGTGATGCACAGAGCAATAAGTACATAGCACTGAAGTATGGCAGCGCTGTTTTGGTTTGGTCAAATTTCCTCTAAGATTAAACTGCATTATGGATGTGATATGTGATATTCTTGTAAACACTTTATGTGGTATGTGCTCAAACAAGAAGAAAAAATACTCTAAATTTGTGTTTGCTTCTCAAAAAGTCTTAGTCCCACAGTGTTTTAAGTCTGTTCTCAGTTATATTTTGGGGAACTCATTAAAATTGCACTTGCATTTGTCAGATTTGAAACCATGAAGTGACACAACCTTGTCTAATTACTGCCAGTGACATTATTATTTCATATGTTGTACATAAGGGCTGCTATGTAGGTCATGGTGTGCTGACTTTACGCTGCATCATATTTTCTTACTAGGTACTAAATGAATAACATACAGATTTAGTTTCACAAATGACCAGAGAACCTCGTATTCCTCAGTGTTTAAAGTTGTTTGTCAAGAACTGTTAGTTTTGCTTTATTTCAAAGTTGACACATAAAACAGCTATTAATATTTATAAATTTAAATCAATTCTTGATTTTTTATTTTTTTGTTTGAAATATCTATGAAATATAAAGTCAGTTTTGACTGTGCAGCCACTCAGTACTACAAACAAATTTGAACCAATTAAAAACAGAACACACTGTTGCTATAAATGGGAAGAAGTTAAAGTAATCAAGTACAATAATAAGAGGGGTATACTGTACTGTCCAAAGGATGTAAGTACTTGTCTAAAGGCTTCCAAAATGATTTCAACAAATATTACACAAAAAGATATAAACAGGGGATGAGGAACAAAAAAACTCGTACATCAAACCAATGTTGCATGGGACCCTTTGGTATCAGTTGCAGACTATGGGTAAATTAAATATATCTGAGAGGAGCCATTATCTTATTCTCCACTGTTAAACCCTGTGGTATCATGGAAGGAAGATATTATGGCAATATTTCTGGATGTAACTAATGGCCCGTTTTCTCCAACACAATAACAAGGTTTTTCCTTGGGTCCATGCTGTGAGCAGGGAATAAAAAACACCTTTAAAATTCTCTATACAGGACTTTATCTAATGATGCCGTCAGTCGAAGAAAAAGGAAAAAGCGGTTTCTTCTTTTCTCTTAATCCCCCAATCAAAACACAATATCTTCCGAAAGAGAAAAAATGTTGCCAGAGAGTAAACCCCTTCAGACTACTCCATTTATTGCATTTGGAATAAAATGTCTCTACTCACATTTAAAATGACCATTAACTCAAATATAACCTTTAGGAGGAGCTAAGTGGATTTAAAGAGACATGTGAATTTAACAACAAAAAATGTGGTATACTTCTTACAACAGCAGTCAGAGTCTGAGCTTTAAAATAAAGTAAAACAAAAACTTTAGACGCTCTCTCTTGATCTTATTGGATAGTTCTCTGAGAGGATTAAACTGTCGTGTTATATAGATTTGCCTCCATGGAGAATAACATAAATCTTACAATTCCCCACAGTAAGATTCGTGTCTTCTTGTGTCAAACTACTGT